GGCTGGCCGGACAGGACAGGCGAGACGGGCAGGACCGGCGAGCAGGGCTGGCCGGACAGGCGAGACGGGCAGGACCGGCGAGCAGGGCTGGCCGGACAGGACAGGCGAGACGGGCAGAACCGGCGAGCAGAGCTGGCCGGACAGACGAGACGGGCAGGACTGGCGAGCAGGGCTGGCCAGACAGGACAGGCGAGACAGGCAGAACCGGCGAGCAGAGCTGACAGGACAGGCGAGACGGGCAGGACCGGCGAGCAGGGCTGACCGGACAGGCGAGACGGGCAGGACCGGCGAGCAGGGCTGGCCGGACGAGACGGGCTTGGGCGTGCGGCCAACAGGAGGTGCCGCAGGCAGAGCAGGCACCTTGGCGGGCGTGGGTGCAGGCGGAGGCAGCGCCGGGACCTCAGACACAGCCGCAGGCACCACCAGCACGTGGCCAACAAGGGGCGTCGCAGCAGGTACCACCAGCACGTGGCCAACAGGGGGCGCCACAGCAGGCACCTCAGGCAGTTCAGACGCGGGCAGTTCAGGAGCCGGCAGGACAGGCGAGACAGGCAGTTCAGGAGCCGGCAGGACAGGCGAGACAGGCCGGTCAGAAGGGATCGCCTCGGCGGGTGCCTCTGGCATGCAGCCAGCAGGGGGCGCCACGGGCAGAGCAGAGGCAGCTGCAGGCGTGCGACCAGCCGGGGGCGCCTCGGCGGGCGCCGCCGTCGTGCGACCAGCAGAGAGCGCCACAGCGGGTGCCGCCATCACGCGGCTGGCAGGGGGTGCAACCGCGGCCACCTCAGGCAGTCCAGGTGCCGGCAGGACAGGCGAAACAGGCAGTTCAGGCGAGTGGCCAGCAGGGGGCGCCGCGGGCAGAGCGGCGTCTCCCCTCACCGGCGTGCGGCCAGCAGGGGGCGCCGCGGGCAAAGCGGTGTCATTCTCCGCAGGCGTGCGGCCAGCAGGGGGCGCCGCGGGCAAAGCGGCGTCATCCTCCGGCGGTGCGGCTGCAGGTGAGCAGGGCTGACCAGGCAGGACAGGCGAGACGGGCAGGACCGGCGAGCAGGGCTGGCCGGGCAGGACAGGCGAGTGGACAGCAGGAGCCGCCGCGGGCAGAGCGGCGTCTTCCTCC